GGTTGGGAAAATTAATCGAAATGAGCATCCCTAATATGTATGTATTATGGGATGTGTGACGTAACTTCTCCCCAGCAAATCCTTGTTACCTTTTAGTAACTCATTTAAATCAGGAAATTAAAGTTTGATGTACTTTTAGTTCTGCTAGTTCCAACACAGTATTCAAACTCAGAACCTCCAGGTGTTATGGTTGTGTACTGTAGGGTCACTGGAACAGTGGACACATCTGTTTTTCTACTCTGTGCCTGGCATGAATTTCATGGCTATTGACTCTGTTCTCACCTCCTTCCAGTTGTCCGCTTTGCCCTTCAGGGAAATGACACCTCAATGGAAATACGCGGCACCTTAGCAAAAATAACTGGGATTATAATTCTCTTCATCATGGTTTCATCCATAAGTAAGTCTGTGTATAAGTTCACATGTGTGCTGTTTGCATGTTCTCCCTGTATTTGCACTGGTTCCCTTCATGTACTCTGAAATTCCCCCCCACACTACAAAATCATGCATTTAGGTAAAATTGGGCCTAAAAATGGCCTGTTGTGTGTGAATGTACTGTATATACTTCCCGATGGACTGGCACCCCAGCACGGTGCCCCCGATGCCAGCTCGGATAGGCCACCATGACGCTGCACTTGGAATTTCAGAAATACATTATTTGGACAAAAGTATTGGGATACCTGCCCATTACACGTACAGGACCTTCTATGACATCCCATTCTAAATCCATAGGCATCAATATAGAATCGGTCTTGCCTTTGCTGGTATAACAGCTGCCACTCTTCTGGAAAGGTTTTCCTCTAGATTTTGCAGTGTGTCTGTGGACATTTTTGCCCATTCATCCATAAGAGCATTTGTGAGGTCAGGCACTGATGTTAGACATGAATTGCAATTTCCATTCTAGTTCATCCCAAAGGTGTTTGATGGGGTTGAGGTCAGGGTTCTGTGCAGGCCAGTCAAGTTCTTCCACACCAAACTCATCCAACCATTTTTTTATGGAATTTGCTTTGTGCATTGGGGCACAGTCATGCTGGAACAGAATAGGGCCTTCCCCAAACTGTTCCCGCAAAGTTGGAAGTATAGAATTGTCCAAAATGTCTTGGTGTGGTGAAGCATTAAGAGTTCCCTTCACTGGAACTAAATGGCCTGTCCCAGTCCCTGAAAAACAACCCATATCATTATCCCTCCTCCATCAAACTTTACAGTTGGCACAATATAGTCAGGCAAGTACCGTTCTCCTGGCAACATCCAAACCCAGACTTGTCCATCAGACTGCCAGACAGTGAAGTGTGATTCATCACTCCACAGAACGTTTCCACTGCTCCAGAGTCCAGTGGCGGCGTGCTTTACACCACTGCATCCGACGTTTGGCTTGGCCTACCACTTTGTGGCTGAGTCTCTCTTGTCTTTACACACTTCCACTTTGCAACAGTACCACTTGCAGTTGAATGTGGAATATCTAGCAGGGAAGAAATTTCACAAACTGGCTTATTGCAAAGGTGGCATCCTATGACAGAACCATGCTTGAATTCATTGAACTCTTCAGAACAACTCATTCCTTTACAAATGTTTGTAAACTTAACTGCATGAGTAAGTGCTTGATTTTATATATCTGTGGCAATTAAACACCTAAATTCAATGATTAAGAGGTGTGTCCAATACTTTTGTCCCTATTATGTATTTAACATGGATAGTTTCAATATAGTATGTCTTTATTTCACAGTTGATATGTATAGTATGGTATGTGTGATAAAATACTAAAGTCAGCTGTCCTTGTTACGTTTCCATAATCCATCTACATTTGGTTCATATCCTGAGATGTCCTTTAAGTACTTCAGTGCCCAACTTGGGATTCAAACCCAGAACCCCCAGGCGACAAGGGCTGCGCTGTGCAGGGATTTAAACACAAGACCACATTATGTCAATTTTTGCTTTTTGTCTGACATGAATTTCATGGTGACTGACTCTATTCTGACATTATTTTAGGTGTTGTCAGTGTTTTCCTGGCAAAATCTCACTCAGCTAGGAAAGAACAACTTGGAACATTTTTAACTATGTTAATGATTCCTATCCTCATGATTTTATTCCCAGGTAAGTATGTTTTTAAGTTTTGAATTTGTCTTAGGCTCCAGAATACTGGAGCAGAATGAGATATGGATGTATTTATTTGCTACATTGTAGTGAATTAAACACACAAATGTTGAACCTGATAATTTGTATGACATTTAGTACCAACGTGGGATTCAACCACAGAATGTTCAGGTGACAGGGCTGTGCAGTGCAGGGTTTTAAACACGGGATCACTGACCACATCTGTTTTTCACTCCATGTTTGACATGAACTTCGTGGTGACTGACTCTCTTCTTTCCTTATTCCAGTTGGTGTCAGTGTGTTTTGGATACTACATTCTCGAAGGACAGCTGGGAGATTAGAACTCAAAGACATTCTTAAAATCTGGGCATATTTCATTTGTAAGTACTGTAGCTTGGTTACACTAAACAAACACACAATCTGTGGTGGGTGAATGAGCATCAGCTCTGAGAGGCTATATTTACTGGAGGAAAAAATCCCAAGAACAGGGAAGGTAACTGTGGGCGTTTCTAAAAGGGAAAAGGCTGCAAGAAAGTTCACACCCAAAAGATCACTGCAGTTACACCAAAGCCAGTGAAGCAGGCAGTAGTTCCAGATCTCCCTCAGACCTGGTCAGGGAGGCTGTTTGAAAGGGAGCCCTGGTCCTGGGGAAGCGGCAGCAGCTATGTGATCGTTTGCCTCCAGCCACAGGTCATTCTGGGTGGGATCTTGCAGCAGCTTGCTGATTGGCTGTCCAAAACACTGATCCTGAAGATTGACAGGTGGTTGCTGTCCATGGTGCTGCACCGAGCACATGCCCACCAGTTATTAACGGCGCAAGCTGAACTATTTGCCAAACTTCAGACTTTTAGCAGATCTGCTCGTTTTGGCAGTTATCTTTCCTGTCACATCAGGTTGAGAATAGTTAAAAAATCTACAGACTGGGACATATTTATTTTGTGAATTCTTGTGACAGGTGTTATTAAAGCAGGACAGTCCTGGCAAAGCAGGATGTCTAGTCACCTAATGTAGGCCATAAAGCCCTTGGACTAAGTTATGTTACTGTGGCTTATGCTTTTTCTGTAAAGGTTTCTTGGTACTGTTAGGTCATTTTGTTTAAGAGAATTTCAATATAATCTTGCCATTTGAGTTTCTGTGGTGTAGGGGCAGAAAGGTTTGTTCAAATGTATCATTTATCCAGATAGCCTATTTGATCATTAATCTCCATTGTACGTTTCCTGTAGTTTAAATCCTTTCCTGTAGCCTTAGATTAAGGGTGGTTGTTGTATGAATCTCTGAGGTCTGATGACTGTGAGCACAAGGCTGCTTCTCTACAAATGGACTGTGTTCATGCGTCCAACATGTAATCTGGACACCAGGGGGTGTTTCTCAATATCAAGACCGCGTGAATGATTATTGAATGATGGTTGACATAAAACAATGCAGTAATAGAAAGGTTACAGTAATATTTATGCTTATCCTCTTCTAGTCATCTCCTGACCATGACAAGTAAGTTCATTTCAGTTTTGGCAAGAGTTCATATTAATTAAAACAAACAAAGAGCATGTGGACAGTGGGGCCCTCTTTGGGGGGGGTTTCACACAATACACACTGTGTATGTATAGCACATACGTCCTGGAGCGCCAGCACACATAATGGAAACCTCCTCAGCAGAGCCCCACTGAAGCTCCACTTAGGGGGGTCTCCACGATTGCGATGCTTCACCTTTGTCATTGCTGGGAGAATAATCCAATTGCCGTCACTCCGGGGCCCATTTAAAGCTCTGGGCCCCAGCCAACTGCCTTCCTCGTTTGTCCTGAGGCAGCATCTCTGCTCACATGTTCACTGTCTTTGTGACTGTGGAATCTCACGTTCCTTGAAGTAACTTGGAAATACCTTTCAGTGCCATTAATTTAGCATTTTTAATAATGGCTCCAAAATGTAGTGCCCCCAGTACATAAATAGTAAATTTGTCCATACAGAAGCATAAATTAGATGGTTTGTATAATATATTATATAAAAAGGTCTAGATAGGAAATGACTAAGTAATTTGACATTCCAAGTGTACAGTTGTTTAGAAACTGGTAATGAATAGACTTTTATGTTGTTGTTCAGGCTAGCAGACTGTTACGGACTAAGGTTTGGGAGCAAGTATTATTTTCACATTTTTACATTTGATGGGGATCTTCCAAGCCAAGTGGCGCATAGTGGCGCAGTTTCATCCGCCCCATTCCTAATGTTGCTCGGGGGAAACATACAAACACACAAAGGTTCCACATTTGCATTGCTCCTGCAATGCAAACCGAAAGACCCCTACTGAAAATTTTCAGAGATTAGGTTGAGGTCATTTTGGCCCCAAGGTTGATAATCATTCATTTCACTGGATAAAACTGCAAGCATTCAAGAGCCAGGGAAAGGTTAACGGGATCCAGCGACTGGATTGCCTGATTAGTTTTTGATTGGTTAGATGAGTCTTCTGGCCCAGACCCAGGCACAGTAACTTACTGTACATAACCTCACAGTGCAGTTGAGCCCTGGGGATGGCAGGATTTGTCTCAGGGGAGGAAAAGCCCAAGGACACTTTGTTATTTAATATCATGTTATATCTGTATAGACTGATGAGAGACTGAGGGTGTCTGATTTGCTCTGTTTACCTTACAGATAATCGCAAACTGTTTAACATGCTGTTACTTGCTATTTATTCCCAACTCTTTGCCTGGATGCAAAACACATTCATATTGGGTGAGTTTCCTGCAGTTTTCATACTTATTATTTTGTTAATAACTTCTACTGTGGAAGGAAAATTGGACATTGGTAGGCCTGGGAGGGATATTGGGTCTGTTATGTCTTAGGCCTTACGCAAGAAGAGATTGTTTTGAATACTGTGTGATCTTGCTTCGTGATAGCTGCCTGCAGTTAGTTCCGCAGACCCTGAAGAGAGATCGGACCATGGAGAGGCAGACAGTGGAGCAAGGGGGGGGGAGGGAGAAACCACCTGCAGGAAGAGACTCGAAGCTACTCCAACTGGTGCACAAAGAATTATAGCTTTATAAAGTAGTCGCAGTAGACAATATACAATATGTTACACGGTAGTGCAAATGTATAAGTGATCATGTTAATTATACTAATCATATGTTAACCGTGTATTTGCAGTGATTCAATGGCAATACATCAATGTGTTAATCATTAATCAATGGAACACCCAAACATTAACAGTGATTCAATGTCATATAATCAATATTTATATACATATCTCAAGTAGAGTCTAGAAGTCGAGTAAATTCAGCAAAATGGGTGGACTTTACCTTGCTACCAAGGTGAACCAATAGAGCAGGACAATTGTGTTTGTTATACGTTTGAGCTCAGTTTGTTGGTGTTTTGTGACCAATCAGGACTTAGAAGTCCTTATAGGGAATTGGGAGTTATGGTTTATCAACTGGTTGCTCTTTTTGCTCGGGGTTACTTGGTACCTGGTACCAGAGTGTGCTCGAATAAAAGTGATTACTTTACTATCAACTGAGAGGTCTAGAGTCTTATTAACAGAGAGGTTTATTTATAATTTATCTATCACACTGCATATTGTGGTAGAGTGGCTCAATGGGCACAGCTGTGGCTTCACACCACCAGTGATAAGGGTTTGATTCCAGAGCCCTGATTGGCCAAAAGTCATTAAATATGACTTATGTGTGGGTCTGGACAGCAGGGGGATGGATGGATGGATAAAACTTGTCTGTGTTCACAGTTCAAGTGGTTTATGACACTGTTTGCATTAATGTTACTGTCTGTGTAATTGTGAGGGTTGGGGTCATGTGACTGGGATTGTGTGAATTTTACTTTTGTAAGGAGAGCAGAAGGAAAAACAAGAACAGTTTAAATGAGCTTTGATTTTTGAAACAGAAACAATTGAATTTTATTTGTTTATTAGTCATAGCATGTGGGACTAGTGTGGACAAGTGTACAACCCAGACTAATGTGATCTTTCTGTTTTCAGGATATTCAATTCTGATTACATTAGCTGCTTTTGGAATATGTGCCTGCATCTGTGTCAAGTATTTTGTCTGGTATCTTGCTAAACGTAAGCACTCTGATACATTTTTGAAGGGGGGTCACTGTAAGTATTAAATTTTCTATTAAACTATGATCAGTTCTGTTTGGCACACATCCTTAACATACCTACAATCAGTGCATTGGTAGTTACTTAACACGGTACCTAACAAGGTATATCATATATGCTATCTCACTGAACAATTGCAACTAGAAAGTTTACGCAAATATGATGTGTACTTCTCTCTATCGGTTGTTGTGCTGCTTGGCTAGTTAGCTGCTCAGTGGTTTTCTTCAATATTGGCACTGTTCTCACTCACACTGCAGTGTATAGCTAGTTAGCAGTCATTCATAGTAACAAGCATAATAACAGGACAGACTGACTATGTGTAGTGACTGAGTGTGTGACAGAGAAAATCTTTTGTGTGTTATTTAGAGGGAAAATGTGATTTAGTGTTTGAGTCGCATCAAAAGTAGCTAAAAGTTACAAAATAAATTTTAAAAGTAGCTAAACTTGTGGCTAGTTACTTTTTGTTAAAAAAAAGTTGCCAGAGCAGTCTGAAAAGTTGCTAAAACTAACAAAGAAATTGCTAAGTTGGGAACACCAAAATCACACTGCTGTTCAGGTTCAGTATGTGTGATGACAGTCTGCTCATCCTACAAACTGACCTTTGTTAAAAAACAAATATACTTCTCATCCTGGAAGTAGAACCTGAGTTCTTTATCTAGGACTATGTTGCTATGTTATTAAAGTTTATCATCATTAATGGTATTTTACTGGTAAGTCCTGGTGCTTTGGAGGCAGCCACGATGAGGCATAATAATAATAATGAATACTTTATTGATGCTGTGGGGGAATTCTCTCCCCCCCCACAACGTGCTCTCTGTAGGTGAGCGCAAGCTGGCTGTGAAGGGCAGCCCTCCCATAGCGGCACCCAGGGAGCTGGGGGTTTAGGGTCTTGCTCAAGGACCTGCAGACGTTCCCAGGCTGGGCGCGATCCTGTGACCTTTCAGTCACATGCAGAGCAGCTTAGCTTACTCAGCCAGACACTGTCCCCAAGCCCTTTATTTATTCAGCAACCAGAACTGTCATAGTTCTCCCATCCATGGTCCCTGTGTTATTTGTTTTTTTGTACTTTTAATTTGTATCAGTCTTGTATTTCCAGTATTTGATTAGTGTTCTCTAGTTTAACCTTCCTAGTTCTAGTTTCATCTGTTTTGATTGGTTGTTAGGTTAATGCTTCTCTCCCGTGTCCTCATTGGCACAGTCTCGCTTGTGTATTTAACTTCTTGGTTCATTTGGTTCATTGGTCATTGGGTTAGAATGTGTTCAAGTTACTGTCTTGTTGCTGCTCTGTTTGGTTTTTCTAGTTCTGCTCCCTGTGTTGCTCTTTTTCCCTTGTTACCATTTTGATATTTTTGTAGTTAGTTTTTGTTTCCCCCATTTGTTTTCATCTTCTTGTGGTCCTTTATTTTTTTTGCCTTCCCCATTGTTCCGTTCCCTAATAAACCCCTGTTGTCTTGTGAGCCACCAGTGGATCATCACCTTTTCCTGCCTGCGCCATGCCACGATGCCTTGATAGAAAACACTGGAAATACAAGACTGATACAAAAAACCAAATCCTATAACAGGGAGGGGGTATCATCAACACTAGGGAAACCAAACAAAACTCGAACAAAATCCAGAACACACAAGTCGGGGATGTGCTAACTTCAAACCCATGACCCCCGGGTTTACATACTGAGCCACACGGGGAAATGGGGAAGGGTCACAGAGGGCGGGGTCAGACTGTACAGACCCTGACACCGGAGCTTGTTTAAAAACTGCAGGGGAAAGTGCATGTCTGGTTTGCAGTGAAATTTCTCTGCCTCTGGAAAATAGGTAGCATGTCTGTGTGCATAGGGAAAATATCTGTAAGGAATCCCCCCCCAATTCACAAGCACGTTTACGGAAACGGAAAACATACCATACATATTCCATTAATGTGCAAGTTACTGTATATGTGATGCCAAACTATATATCACAAATGCCATGGAAAACTTTCCCAGCTTTGTCCCTGCCAGACCGGAATAAAATAAAATGTTGGAAATGCTGAATCAACTTAAAATATTTGAAGTAATCGATCACACTAAATATTAGAAGCTGCCTCAATTAAAACATATAAGAGAACTAGCATATTGACAAAGTGTGACGTATGCTGTTTATTGTAAATGTGTGGAACGCTAGTTGACAAAAATGTGCTAATAATTTGTTGCGAAATAAATAAAATAATGCTTGCCAAGTAAACTTGTAACTCCAAAAGCCATGTTGCTTAATCTGAGGTATGTTAGTCTGTGGTAGCACTATTTTGGAAGATGAAGCTGCACAGAAAAAATAAAACAAAGCTGTTGTTCATTCAGTGTGCTCTTCCATTCCAATAGTTGAACATAATTAGTTTATTCATTTAAATGTAACTGCCTTACGTTTATAGCTGAACCTGTTTTTTACAGGTTAGACTGAATAAATTTACACTGAGGTAATTTAGAATATTTTGTGATCATTTAAAAATGTTTAAGTTGTTAAAACTAAATCACATTGTTAAAATTTCCAACATTTTTTTCAGTGCACGTCTGACATTAAATGATGGGCATATCATGCACTATCTGCCGACTTGCTATGTGAGGGCCCTGACATGCACTGATTACGTGATCAGCCGTAGGTTTAGTATACCTGATGTTAAATGACAGGGCTGTGAAAGAGCCAGAGTGCCGTTTACGCTGCCATTCAGAAATGGCTTCTATCCAAGGCCAATGAATAATGAACATATGGTGTAAGGAGTACAGAACATGGATCGCTGAACAATGGGGAAAGAATGACATGGTCTGATAAGTCATTTCCTACATCTGGATGGGGTTACATTTGGAGAAGCCAAAGCACACCATCGGCCCACAGTGTCTGTTGGTGTGGGCAGCCATCTTGTGGGAGTCTTTAGGTCTGATGATGCTCTGCATGGTCCTATAACAGCCAAGGAACATGAGGGCTTTTTACAAGAGCAACTATCCACTCTACTAAGATATCATGCCAAAAAGTAAATAGAGAGATAATGTTTAATGAAGACCTATTTTTTGTTTATTTAATATGTTGTTTACATGTTTTGATGTTTTCAGATTTGGCTCAGAAAATCCTTCTAGGAATTTTCTTCCTGCTTCATCTAATATTAGGTTTCCAGTATCTAAGTGTGATTATAGAAAATGACAGAGGTAAGGAAAACTTTTAACTGTAAGGAAACTATTTGTCTTAAAGAGAACTTTGTTGTTTTTGGTAAATGGTTTTTCTAAATTCTTAAAATCAGAAATTTCTGTTTGTGATGCAAATAATAAAGTTTTGTAATAATGTCTGGCATGAATCCTTATTGAATTGTATTTTGCTTTAAATAAAAATATTAATTTCAATGTATTCCATACAGAATTGTTATTTTCAGGCTGTGCCTTAAGGTAGGTATTTTGTTTGTATGCATGTATGTATAATAATAATCTCTATTGTATTAAAAACTAAAATTTATTTTGACCACAGAACGACCTATAAAGATGTGCGAATATGTGTTCATCAACATTCTTACTCTTACATCATGTTTTCAAGACTGGAAACGGGAGAAATTTCTTGGTAAAAATCACTTTTTCATTTTGACATAATAGTTAAATAGTTTTATTGGTTAAACTTTTAAATCAACTTCTGTCTCATGAATGTGCTTGTAAAATCATATATGCATTTTCTTTATATCATGTACCGAATCAAATGTTATTTTTAAAAAGTGCAAAGATAATATTAAAAATCTTTCAGGTCTTGAAAAGAATACACTGATATGGCTGTTTAAATGTACAGACAGAGCTGTATAACTAATGCTTTTCTCTCTACTTTTCAGCCAAACAACGTAAATTTCTATATTTCTCAGGGGCTTTTGGTCTCCCTCTCCTGAATTCTGTTGCCCTGGCTGTAGCATTAAAACTCAAAGCAGGTAAATACACTAGAACTTTCAGAAGTTCCTCCTGCAAATGTCCTTTTTATTACATAAGCTTCCTCTAAACAATGCCGCTAAATTGTACAAACCCTTTATGAAATACTATGTGGATTCCTGTGGTTTGATATCAGTCACTTACTGCTCATTTACTGACCTCAGTTCTCAGTGATTGTTGTGATGATGTCATTTCAGACACAGGAAAACAGCCAGTGGATCTACGGCTGATTGTCCTGATTTCTGGGTCTGTCTTTCTCTTTAGCTGGTTTGTTATACAGATGTCTGCATACTGTAAGTATAACAGAGATATGATGCATAACTTACCATAAAGGCTGAATATGTGAACCGGGACTTTCCTAGCATGTTGACATTACTGTTTTGAGCTCTTGCATAGTTGTTTCTTTTATATTTACAGGGTCGGACAAAAAGATACAGTGAGTAGACATTTTTGTTTGTAATATAAGTATTTTTTTTCAGAAAAAATGGTAGAAATGTATAAGAAACCCACCCATCCATCCGTCACAGTGAGCCTGGCACCTGTCACTGGAAGCACACTGGAAGGGGACACCCTGGGCAGGATGCCAGTCCATCACAGAGCAAACACACACATTCACATGCGAGGGGACATTCAGAGATGCCAGTTGACCTGACCTCATGTTTTAGGACTGGAAAGAAAACAGAGTACAGTGGTACCTCAGAACTCAAACTTAATCCGTTCAGAACTCCGGATCAAATCCTAAAAAGTTCGAGTTCTGATCGAATTTTCCCCATAAGAAAAAATGGAAGACCAATTAATTGGTTCTCGGCCCCAAAAAATTACACTTAAATATGTTTTTTTTAGCATTTAAACACAAAATGAACTGGATAAAACAAGAAGAGCATATACTGTACTAAACACATCTAAGCACATTTATAAAAACAGTAATTTGTAAAGGAAGAAAATGTATTCAAACAATTTGTTCTGCCCCTGTTGTCCGCTCCTTCCGTGTGCCACGCCCCCTCGTTAACCCCGTGTGGAATCCCCGTGTGATCAGCTGTTTCTGGTTGTTGTCATTAGTCCTCTGTATGTATTTAGTCCGCGTTTCAGTTTGTTTCCCCAGTCCGGTCATTGTATTGTCCGTCTGCGTTTTGCCTGCCTTACCTGTAATTAAACCCCATATTCCCCGATACCCTGACGTCTGCGTCTTTGTGTCCGTTCCGTCCCCGCTCGGCACAACAATATTATTATAATTAAACATATTAATGGTTTATTATTCATATTAAAATAATAAGAAATATTTATTTTTTAACGTATTTTATTATATAATAATAATTACTGTTACTGTCTATCATTGTCTAAATGTATTTTTACTGTCTAAATATATGTATTCAGTTAGTGTAAACATGCACAATGCTATCACAGCTAATGTGAGGCTGAGACTGAAGCTTTACCCTTTGTTTCCGCTGAGAGACGTGCCACGTGACTCATTTCCCCGCGTGTACAAGTTATCTTAGGTCGGCATTTGACTTCTGAGATTCAGATCGAGTCCTACGTAATTTTTTTTCAAACTGGTTGGTTCGACTTTTAAGAAATTTGAGTTCTAATGAGTTAGAGAACTGAGGTACCACTGTATCTGGGGAAACATGGAGAGAGCATATAAACTACACAGAACCCAAGCCGGGGGGTGTGAGGTGCCAGTGTTACCCACTGAGTCACCACGTAAACTACACAGTGCCTAATCAGGAGGGTGTGAGGTGCCAGTGTTACCCACTGAGTCACCACGTAAACTACACAGAGCCCAATCAGGAGGGTGTGAGGTGCCAGTGTTACCCACTGAGT